AAAGAAAAAAAACAGAAGGAAATGTGATTTAATGGAGTTTGAAAGAGTAGAGGTTTTTCTTCAGGTCAGTGACAGGACATTCACCTCCAAAGCTGGAAAGACTAGTTCAAAAGCAAGCAGTGACTTACTTCATAATGAATTAATTGTGTGCCTGAACTATGATCCAAAAGGCCAGGTGGGCAGACCTTTATGCACTGATGGGTAGCCTCTCCGTGGCCCAAAACAAAAAATTCAACCCTGATGGCTAACATGTGGTTTTGTGCTGTGTTGTACTTACAGAGGTCTGTAATATAATTCATACTGGAGAGGTAAAGAGCAGAACTCAGATGGAAACTCTCCACAAATTAATATCCTAGCTGTGTTACACAAAATGCTTCCACCTACACTAGAAAAAGAGGAAAACAAATATTTTCAGCAATTCTTGATTAACAATCATTTTGGGTTTAGTATGATTTTTACAGAAATCTTCCAAGATTAACAATAGTGTGTAATTTCATATCAATAGAAATATTTTTAAGGTATGAAAAATACACATCAACTACACTTTGAAAAGCCAAGCCGATTGCTTGGTTCACCATTTGCAAAACAGGCTGATTTTACCATCTTTGGTTAAACAGCACAGGTGAGTTTTCATTTTAAAATAGTTCAACGGTGTACATTTGAATGAACCTTTATTCTGTGACCTGTAAGTATAAAAGCATGCCACCTAATTCTTTCACAGCCCGTGTAAATGAACGGGATCTACTCTACAGGATTTATTTAGGAAACAGGAAAGTAACGCTGTATCTCGGGCTGATCTTGAGGCTTAGACAAAAGGAAAATTTTTCTCTTGTAAATTCACATGTCCTGCATAATTTAGATGGAGGTTAAGACAGAAGTAGGAGGAGAATTTACTCATAAGTCCCCGCTAAGGAAACAGCACAGCCAATTCGAAAGTATGGGTCTTCCATTCGACAGGCTCCACAGGAACCTGGCTCCAAAACTGACTACTTTGTCATCATTGGTTAAGTTGCTAAACTTGCCCTGACCTCAGATTCTTTATCTGGTGAAAGGTAGTCATGCCTACTCCAACAACTTTGTTGTGAGGGATCGGTGTTAGGAAGGTGGGTAGTGAATTGTGAAGTGTGAAACGAGTTCATTTTTTGTTGTTGTTATCAGTACTGACTCCTAGTAGGGAAAACTCATTAGCATGTTTGTC